CCAACTGCGTCTGAAGTTTCCTTCCTCAATACCTAGACCCTGGGCTTGGCTACCATTTTTTTAAATCATTTTCCTTTTATGTCACCTGTTTGCATTTGACCCTGCTGAATACCATAGGAACATTTTTTTTCTATAACCCCCTTCTCAGAAAATGACGCCATCTCCCTGAGGCTGCTCTAAGTGGCTGGGATAAATTTGGGCATGTCTAGGAAGCAGCTAGGGTTCTTTATTCAGCACAGCTTCCAAACTGGCTTGTTCTGTGGTTTAAAAAAAAACCCCAAATAGATTCATTCTATAAGGGGTCTAATAAAAACGGGGATGTAGAGAAGGATCCTCAATTGCTGAACTGCCGAACTTTTCAAGTCATCTTTCATTTTTATAGACAAAAAGAGGACACCAACCAGATGTTTCTCCTTTAAGAAAAGTGTAGGAGGCAAGCCAGAGACACATATCTTCTCCCACCCCACCGCTTTTCTGTTTCCAGCCCCTCTGGGATTGATATACCAGCCCTATGAACACTGCAGTAGTTATTTTTCTTATAAGGGCTAATAGTTGCAATGTTACATACATTTTTCCTCTTCCTTCCCTTTCCTATTTTTCCTTAGCAATGGACACAAAGCAGAAGCACAAAATAAATGCAGATACGAAGAGAAAATGAATCCAATATGATGAAACCAACAGTGTGTTTGGAATGTTTAAAAAGAAAAAAAAACAATTTCTAGCATATTTTTGGCACAGAATCTGCTAATTCAAAGTGCTAAAAAAATTCAAGACCCCTTAAGTGTGACAGGAGGCCTCTGACATTTTCCTGCTACCTGCGTAACAGATGTTCCTTTCCAGGAAAAAATTAAAGGAAAATCATAAATGAAAGCAAAAATGCCTCAGTCCCGAGCCTGTGCTGTGTATTATCTAGGAAAAGATTGTAAAAATGTGTAGGATATCTAAGAATAAAATTATCTACAGACAACATATTTTATAAAACATCTTTAAAATATAGTATTCGGCCATACTGGGGAATATGCTGCAGTGTGGACAGTCCTACTCAACAAAATCAGGTTTTGTACTTTAATGCGTACCACCGTATGAATGTTCTTATGCTCAACTAATCCAAAACAAAAACCTTGTAGTTCTGTTTCCCTTCTTCCAAGAAACACTGGGGAATCTTGATAAAAGAGAAAAGAAGAAAGAATAATTTCTTTTCATCATTTCCTTTGCCCTGAGCTTCTTTTCCTGCCATGCTATTTAGTTCTAAAAAACTCCCAAATCTCTATTGCATTGCTTTATTCCAGGGAGAGAAAAAAACATTCGTATCCTTTTCTTTCTTTTAAAACATTCCGGGATAGCACAAAGTTCCTTGATTTCTTGATCGATTGTTTAAATTTGTAACATTAGAGTGCATGTCCTCCAAACTCAACAGAGCACAAGGAAAACATTTTTACTGTGACCCTAGAATGCCCCATTTACACAAAATGTGCCCTGGTTTCCAGATTATGCTACTTCAATGACAATTTGTCTTAATATTTTAAAGTATTCCTTCTATGAGTTCCTGGGCTGTAAAAACTGATTTTAATTTTAGTAGGAACTCAACGCCAATTGCACAACCACATCCGAATATTACAGGATTGCTTTATTATTCTTGGAATGAGATCTTTTTGTGATCTGGTTCTAGGGAAGTGCTCTTTTTACACCTCCAAGTTTCTTCATTTCCTCCACAAGTCCTTCCTACATATATTTTTCTAACTTTCACAGACTTAACTCACGGAGGCATTTCAATTGTATTTGTCTCCCCAACTACCACATCACTCAGAGCACAACTTTGAAATGCCCACTTGGGTGCCTGCATATAATCCAGGAGCTCAAATATGCATTTATTCATATTTCCTCTCCGTTGCCTCTCTCCAGTCATGTCCTACAATATTTCTTCCTTACAGTTTATGCAGTCAGGCATCCATCATTGCTCAGTTAGCTTCCAAAGGATTTCTGTAATATTTACAGTGAACAAATGGGAATCAAGCCACTATAAAGATTTTTCCCCTTGTCTTTCTTTTTGTTATTACTAAAAGAACTGTATGCTGAGATGCAACAGGGGTTGAATCTGAAGACAAGAATCAAGCTAGCCATTAATTGATTATAAATGTAGCAGAAAGCATACACATAAAATTATTTGTTGGCTTGGTTAATATAAATTCCAACAATCACTGAGGTAATCAGAACTGGTGCAGTGAAGATACAGAAGTTCAATAGTTCCTTAATTCAAATTCATTATATACTTTATTTAAAAGGGTCTAAAAGTGGGGAATTCCCATCTACAACCCTGGAGAATTGGTTTTCATTTATTTAAAATCATTAGGGCTGCAAATCAATGTAAGAATATCCAAAATTCAAATTGCACAGGGTGGAAGCACTATATCCTTTGCCTTTTTGTGGCTGAAGTGTGTTTGTGGCACCTGCTGCTCAACCATTTCCGCATGATCAACCTAGCTCTCAATCAATAGTTCTCCTATTCATTTATTATTCTGCTTCTCGAGGCTGTCCTCAGAGAATTTAAAAAAGAAGATGAGGTTTGCAAACTGAAAGAAAAAGCAGACAGACTCACAGACAAAAGGAGTGACGAACAAGAGGAAACCAGAGGTAAGTAATTTTTTAAGGCAAAGCAATTGAAGCAATGAGCGTGGCTTAGCATTTATACTTCACCAAGTCTAGATTGAGATTCATTTTCAGACATTCTTGCTTAAGCAGTAGTTTAAGTGGGGTTAATCTCCAGACACATGGAAATTACTCATAAGCAGTGGGGGGAAGGGGGAGAACTATACCAGTCCATTTGCTGATTAATCAGAAGGATCAATTCATGCCTTCTTCCCACAAGTTTCCTTCTGGAAAGTGAAATGAGATTAAAGGATATCAGATATGTTTTTTATTGTCTTCAAATGATGACATATGAATCATGACATCATCATACAATTTATGCAAATGTGGAATTGACGTGAATTGTATTGCGATATCTGATGCAAAATTGAACACCACAACGACAACATGGCATTCATGTTATCCTTTTTCTTCCCTTGCGTCCAGAATGGGTATTAGCGAAGTGAGTTGTTCTCCAGTTTCCCAAATGTCATGGCAAATTAAATGTTGCATTTAAGAATTGATAAAAACCTGAGATACGAGGCATGAGAAGCAGCAAGGATAGAACTAAAAACTGGGAGCGGTAAGACAGTGAAAATATCTAAATGTAAGCAGGAAACATAAACGGTGGCAACAAAAAGGAATATAAAGAAGAGAGCAGTTATGGAAAAGGGTCTGATATCTGTACCACAGCTATTATCATAATTAGTAATCATTTCTGAATTTTAAAAAGCTTTATATTCAAGGAAAGAATCTGAAAAAGAATTATTGGTTTACTTGTTCTATTTTAAAGCTGCCCTTTGTCCAAGCAGTTCAAGCCATTCTACATAGTTTGCCTGTGCTACCATTACTGCAGCCTCGTAAATACAGTAGGTTGTGATGAAGGATACTGTAATTGATTTACAGTAAGCATCGTGACTTGGTGGAAATGTTCTTCTGTTCTCTCTAGCATAGAATCAGCAGAATACAGTAGGCCACGTCACCTATGATAATTTTTCCTCCTTGGCACAAGAATGGCCAAGAATGTAAATAAATTTCTCAGTTATTCAAAGTTTGCATCTGTTGCCTTTGATTATATTGGTCAGGAATAGAGTTGAAATCCAATTCATTTAGAGAATATCCAGGTGGGATTCTTGTTTGTTTTGCTCTGCATTCACTTAATACAACAACATGCAAAAACGCTGATTTGCCAACTGAGGGTGTATCATGAACTTTCCAGACAAGAAAATATTCTGTTTGAAAGCAAACACAATTCTTTAAACAACTGTCTCTTCCCATTCCTTATATCAATCAAACATAAATAGATGGAATAAGATATTCAGCAAAGTCTACTCCAAATGTGATTTTAGATGTTTAGGTAATGTACTGGTCCCCCCCCCCACCTTAAAATCAGAATACAATTAAATGTATGTACACAAATACTCACATACCTGAAGCAGATATAGTGCTGAAATCACTTTTGGCACAATGAGGAAAAAAGTAAAATAAAGCATGAGTTTAATAGCATGCTGCAAGTTACATTGCAGCCAGGAGTAATAGCCCCGTTTTGTTTTGCAGAGACATTTAGCAATGAAAAATGGACACGATTAGGATAGAATCACTTTTCCCCCTGCATGCTTCCAGAACCACTTCTGAATGGTAAATGTAGCTGTCTAAATCAAGCCCATGACTTCATACGGAAGAACTACTGGCAAATGTATGGCTGGGTTTCCTTCACCTCCCCAAGCCCTATAAACCGCAAATCATCTTCTCCCAAGCTGGCTACGCAGTTCAAAGAGGTTGCTGGGTTAACAATATGCAGTAGTTTGGCCCAAGCTACCCTATTTCCATGAATGAATTAACTCTGGGATATTCTAACTTTGCAAGTCTTTGCATGCTTTCATGGCATGTACGTTTTGTCTCCTTATTTTTCAAGGCACTGACAACAGCATAGAGCATGCCCCATTGTCCGCTACAATTGGCATGACTCCAAACACAATGCGGGTTGCATATATCTAACAGACAAGAGAGCAGGCAAAAATTATTCAGCAGGTGCAGCTTTTTCCTATTACGCCGCAGGACCAGTCTCATCTGTATGGCTGTCCTCTGATACCTAAAGAAAAATAGCTACGTTCTTTGTGACATCTGGCAAACCTATTTAACAACTCCCAAAACAGAAGGATCCAATCCTTTTCTTGGGAGAAGATGGAATATTCAGAAATTATCTGTGTTTGATTTCCCAGGTTGAGGTCAGGAAAGTTCAAGAAAACATTTTTTAGGATAGCTTTGGTTGTTACTAAAAATTTAAGGACCTAACACTCCTTTAAAAAAAAACATATTATGGTTTGGAGAACAGTCGTATTCCCACTGAGGTAAAAGTCAAGTCAACATCTTACATTTATTTGCCAAGAGCTGAGATTTATATTGGCCACGAACAAGCCGGCAGGTGGAACCATCGCCATCACAGACCCCACAGTTATCTTCCTTCACAGGGCTTCCCAGCTGATGATCACAGCCAACAATCTGACAAAAGAGAAAGATGTGCAGTTCAAATTGAGCACCTCCTGACAGTTGGATCTATTTCTGAGCTTAGTTCCCGCCAATTTTCTTCATCACATCGTCTCCAAAGGGCCATAAAGCATGTTCGCAAGAAAAGGGAGAGCAAAATGAATTTGCTTGGTAGAGTTCCATCTGAAATCAGGAGCACTGCTTACAAGGCAAAAAAATGGTGGGCAGTATTTAAAAGTTGCTGAAATGATTTTTTTTTGGGGGGGGGGCTTCAGACTCCTGTCAATATTTTATAGTTAACATGTTTATTATGAAATAGTAACATGATTAAATCTCAATGAAAGTTCATCTTCAGATTTACTATCTTACAGGGAACTTAGCATTTTGCTGAGGAAAATGGAGGTATCAGATCTAACCGTGCATTAAACCAATGAGTGCAAGAGACATGCTGATGCTTTTATTATATCAAATAGTAGCTGGATACCCGTGTTCTGCTATGAAACTATGTGATCTGGCTTGCTAAACAGACACTTACAGCTTGAAAATTAATGAGTAGTTATGATTGGCCTTTCCTCTCCCCTTCTCTCTCTCAGGCTTGCCCCACAGATGCCTCTTCTATCTTATCCCCTTCTCTCCCGCAGTCTAACTCCTTAGCATCAAAGCATTTTTCAGGTGGGGAGGGGGAGTAGAATGTCTAAACTCCCAGTCCGCAGGCTGGATGAATCACACGCTGGCCATGCCCATGCCCATGCCCAAGGTGCAGTTGGAACAGAGTTCTTTTCAGATGGGGAGGGGGAGTAGAATGTCTAACTCCTTAGCATCAGAGCATGTTAATAATAATATAAGAAATACTAATGATCTGATGGTCATTTCAAAAAATCCTTTCTTAGTGAGCACCTAGAAGCCAAAAGGAACAGTTGTGCCAAATTTCAAGTTTGTAGTTTTTACGGTTCTGGAGATTTCATGATGCTGTGTGAGTGATATTTCATTTTTATATATAGATGAGCAAAAAAAG